CAACCAGAAACACCAAATAGAATTGATACATTTTCTCCTATTTTCATTGAAGCATAATGCACCATAGCTTTTGGTTAATATTATTTTTCCTATTTCTGAACTTTTTTTTGAGGCTTCAGGACATAAAACATTCTGTGAAGTTTGTTCTTCAGATGAACAACATTCATTATATTCAGTGGCAGATAACAGCTATTTGAGTAGGGATGTTTAAAATGCAGCCATTATTGTGTCTCAATAATTAGCACAGTTTTCACTTTATTTAATAACCAGTGAAACTAAGTTTTAAATACTGAAATTACAAATTCAGGAGCAATCTGGAATAGCTTAAAGACAACTGAGTATCATTTTTGCTTTAAATATTTGGTTCACATGTTTTTTAATGCAGAAAACCCCATGATAATACTATAGTTTCATACATTTTATATTTTTTGAATTTCTTGTTTCCAAATCATTTGAGACATATTTAGAAGTATAACGTTTATATATACAGCTTTTCACTGAAATCAATGGATTTCAACCACTCAATTTCACTGAATCAAATCTTTCTGATATTAAAAGACATTAAAATGCCTAAATATATATATTATATTGTACATATTTTTCTGTTTAAATTCTTATATTGTTTAATGCTATTGCATGTGTTAGTATTTCATAAATACTTCTATTTTCCTAATTTTTTTCAATAGGTACAAAAGGAAATAGAGATGAAAGGCGTGTGGAGCATGCCATCAAAATACAACGAAGAAGGAGTTTATCACATTCAGCATAGTTTCATTAAAGAAGCTGAACACCACTGCTTATTACATAGCCCTATTCCTGTGAACTGCCCTATAAGATTGCTCCATTGCATGAAGGATGACGTTGTATCTTGGCACAAGTCCATACAGATTGCTGACCGAGTGGTCAGCACAGATGTAGATGTCATCCTTCGGAAACATGGTGATCACCGAATGAAAGAAAAAGCAGACATTCATCTTCTTGTTTGCACTATTGATGACTTAATTGATAGGCTTTCAACTGTAGTTACCTAGAATCACTTTTGTAATCGGTATGTAAACTAGTGGATCCAGAAGATCCTGATACTAGGTTTTTTTCCTCTTACCATTATTTTGTAGATACCACATGAGGTTTTATTTAATGATGTCTTTGCACTTAAGTGATATAAATTGTGAAGAAAGTACAGTTGTTCCTCTATACCCTCCAGGGATTGGTTCCAGGACACCCTCCACCTCTTGGATACAAGATTCTGAGGATGCTCAAGTCCATTATAGAAAAATGGCGTAGTATTTACGTCTAACCTCCACACATCCTACTGTACACTTTAAATCAGCTCTAGATGGTTTGTACTACCTACTCCAATGCAAATGCTTTGTAAATAGTTGTCATACTGTATTGTTTTAGGAATCAACCTTCTGGAGTTTTTCTTTTTTTAAGTATTTTTGACCCGTGGTTGGTTAAATCCAGAGATATAGGACCTGCAGAATCAGAGGGCAGAATATACCAGCTGCTAGAAAATTGGAAAATTTTCTTCTTCCTTCAGTCCCTGATTTTTTTTTTCATTATTATATTTCCTATATTTTTATTCAAGAGATGTTTAACTTCTAATGCTTTTGTTAACTGTGTCAGCTTTTAATTGTGTTCTGGTCTCCTTAGAATTATTAATAAAGCTTAAAATTTTCGTATTTTGTTTGGTATCATTGTATATGGAGGCTTGTAAAATTCTGATTTTAAAATCAATTCACAAAATATAGGAAAATAAACAAAATGATTAGAGAAACATCTGAAGCATAATAAAGTTCAAAAAATAAAGACTATTCTGCATGTTATATTTAAACTTAAAATTAAGGCTATCTTTTTTAAAGGCTCAAAGCTACAGTGATATACAGGGGTTATATCATTTCTAAGTTTTGGCTTATATGTAATATATTTAAATGGGGAAATTTTAATGGTATATTTCATATTTTAAAGAGGGAATTATCATTACATAGTATTGCCTACCTGCAGAAACATTTATTATTAATATGTGCCTTAGATTTCAATAGGCAAGTACTTGCCATCGAAGAGAACTTTCAGAAGTGCAAATATAGTAAGAAAATATTAAATACAAATACAAGGTGTTTTTGTTTTGTTTTTAATAACTGCAGTAGTCAGTCTCTACTATTGAGTTTGTGTATTTTAGATTTAGGTTTGGTTGGATTTTATTTAGCTTGCTAGAGCTATGTCTGTCAAAACAAAGTTGACAACATGAAGAAAGAATGCTGGGATTAAATTCTTGTGCCAAAAAGCGTTAACATAGCAGCAGCCTGACAACTTACCCTGAGACCTGCATACCAGATTGGCCCTTGGCTGGCAACTGGGAACTTGAATTTTAGGAGGGTTCCCAGTACTGATAAAAGTGGCTCACTGTGCATAAACTGTCTGTGCAAACAATGCGTTTTGTGCTGAACACCTGCTGGCCTCTGGGAGTCTGGAATTTTATCTGGCATAGGTGCCAGGCAGAGATTGCCTAAGTGGCCAGCTCCCAGTAAAAACTCTGGGCTGTCAGAACACGACTGGGATTAAGTTCATCCAGTGTGACTCCACTGGGAGAGAATTCTTTGATGCTTCGTGCCTAGTTTTTCCAGATTTGACCTCAGGTTCTTCGCCCTTTGTGGATTTTGCTTTGCATCCTTTTGCTGTCATAAATTGTAGCGGTGAGTACAGTTATATGCCAAGTCCTAACAAATCAAACCTAGAAGTGGTCTTCAGGAAGCCTGACACAGATATGAAACAGGTTAATGTCCTACAAGGCAAAAAAACTACAGACTGAGTTATCTTTTATACCAAACAAAAATCATAAATATGTGAATTGTGTGTGCCACAGTGCCTGGTGCTAGAAGGAGTTGATGGTGGATGGCAGAAGAGCTATTCCAGTCACTGCCAGGCATAAGGATTACAAAGATGAAGAAAGGGCCCAACCCATGTTACATAACTACAATAAAATGTAATAAATACGATTACGGATTCATCGTACACCTGCAGAGGAAGAATAGAATGTATAATGGTTACTGACAGACAACAGAGTGGATTTCAATCCTGGCCCACCATTTACTAGCCCTGTGATACAATATACTTACCCTCCCTGAGGTTTCTTCATCTGTAAAATGACAGTATAAACCTAGATAATAAAGTGTAGGAATTAAGGACAGCACAAATAGAAGGAAACAGGAGTCACTACCTTTTTGCTTTTAGTATGCACAGAGCACAGTCCTGTGAGGAACTGATGAATGCAGTCCATGGGGATTTAGGAAGAAAAGTAGAGGCAAAGTAGTAGTTACCCTTTACTAACTTCCTGTGGTGATCTGGAGCATGTGTGGTGTGATACCCTTTCAAATGCTCAATGGTTGAAGGGGGAGGAGGAAATCAATACCTAAAGATAGAAACAATTTTAAAATTTAATCTAGCTTTGCAGAGGGTAGCATCAAAAATTCAATAGGAGTTTGAATCAGTAGGATTTAGTGTATTCTAGTAAATTATTAATTTCTTCAGTGTTTCTTTTTAATTTTTCCCCAAAGCTCTTTTTCCCCCGAGCTGAAACCACTCCATGCCATATATTCAGTGACATGGAAAATGCTCCAACAACCAGCAGCCCCTGAGTGCCTTATGCTGTTGATCTCCTGCGTTATTCAAAAAGCGCCGTGACCCCTCTAAACAACCTCAGCATGTTCAATGGGAAAGCAGGCTCAGTGAGGCCACATGATACACTGTACTTGCTTCTGCTGCATCTGCTGAGCTCAGAGGCACTTCCAGCCAAATCTAAACAGTGTGCTGTCCTCTGAGGAACCAATAGAAAGGCCTGTGCAGAGGAGAGGAGGAAAAGGGCTTTGGGCAGGGCTGAGTTTTATAAAGGAGATAGAAAGCAAGTACCCACCACATAGCCATTTCCAGGGCAGCACCCAAAAGGAATATGTGACATATTAAATTTGGGGCGGTTTACAAAAGAAAAAAACAAAAACGAAAGAACTGCTATTTTCCAGAGGAAGATGGTTAGAATTATATACATTTTAAGATCACCTTTACATACAAATCTAAAATAACTTAGAACACACTTATATATGCATAACTTGGTTCAAGGGGAAAATGTGATGGTTTGCTGCTTAGGGAATATACCTAGAAAAAGGCAGACAGGTTTTTTTTTAAACCAAATGAATCTTCAGAGGAAATTAAACTTTCCCATTTGGGCTCTCTCTTGTCTTGGGCTTCCAGGGTTTTGCTGACAGATCACAGGAGCTCCTCATCCCTCTCTCTTTAAAACTTGACCCAGTGGGTCAATTCGTCGCTGGGTCCTCTGTGCTCTCTCATGAAAAGCAAGCACCCTCCTCATGCCCTTTGATAGTACTCCTTTGAGATTCTCAGTTTATATGCTAGCCTCCCTCTCTCAAAGGACCATTGAGGTCAGAGGCGTTGCCGTTGTTTATCCCCAGGTGTCTCTGACCATGCTACATCAACCCATTTTGCTGGCTCTCCTCCTTGCCCACCTTGTAATGTTAATATGCCCCCTTTCATTCTGACTTTGTTACTTACTTATGTACCTTGAGCAACCATACCCATGCTCCGTGTTTTAAATGCTACCTGCATACAGATGATTCAAGTACATTCCTCCATTACAGGCTTTTCTCCTGAGCTCCAAGTACATAAAACCACTGCCTAATGATCTGGGACGAACCATGAACATCCCAAACCCAGTGAGTACAAACCTTATCCTCCCCCTTTAGAAGCCTCCCTACCTATGAGTCCCCTTACAATAAATGGCACCACCACTATGCCTGTATACGGGTCAAACTTCTTAGTTATCTGAACCTCTCCCTTTCTTTCATCCAAATCAGAACTGCTGGTTCTCGTTCCCTATGAAAACACACACACACACCTCTTTTGGATGATATGTAAGTATGAATTTCCAGGGCATTCGAGAGGGGGCGCCTTGATTCGTATAGTTTACCAACATCTATGGCATAAATACTCTTGTCTTGGCTGCTTTCATGCTACCACTGTGATGTCACTGAATATGAGGAAGCTGGAAAGAAGTAGCCAGTAGCACATTGTTATGTAGAATATACACTATCTTCTAGATGAAAAATGGGCCACATACTAAATGTGATAGCTCAGAGGAGGCCCACATGGTGGGTCTTACAAACTCAGAGACAGGGTGGTCTGAACATATCAATTCCTAACTAAAAGTGGGTCATGAGGGCTACGTGGGCCTGTAGCTTCTTTGACAAAGGTCAATCTTTACCTTTGAAATTGTCTATTGTCTTTGTGCATCAAAGAAAATATACCTTTGAAATAGCAGAGGACTATTCTTTCCCAGAACCAGATTTGCTTTGCTTTTTCCCACCTTCCTCATCTACCTCCATGGATTTCATGTAACCCTCCCTGGTTCCTCCCTGGATACTAATATATATATTTATTCATCTATATCTATAATAACAAAAGTGTAATATACTAATTAGACTGAATAGCCGAACGACCTTCCAGACATCCTTCCAGACAATCTTCCAGATGAAGCTGGGAGCCCCTTGCACGAATTTCATGCATCGGCCCTCTAGTATATATAAAAGGCTAAGTGACTGACCGTACGTCCATCTGACCATACCATAGGACGGATGGCCAGTACATATGATGTGCACTGGAAATCTATATATATAAAAGGCTAATATGCTACAAAGTGTCCCCTCGGGAGCTCAACCGGGAGACTGGGAG